GGAGAGGGAGAGGAACATCAGTGATGAGAGTCATTGATTGGCTGCCTCCTGCACTCTCCCTACTGGTGTCCTCTCTCTGAAATCAATGAAGATTTTTTTAAAAAATATTTCAAGGAAAGGACAAGAAAGCTGATGGGCAGTTAAGTAGGAACTGAAGAAACTGATACATACAGGTGGAGTTGCAATGTTTCTGATATCTCAAAATTTCATCTTTGTCAGACAGAGAAGGCTTGTGGGACTTAGGGTCTAAAACCAGTGTAAAAAAAGGAACTCCACCAGGATCTCAAAGCCCATTGTTTTTTTAAAAATCATGCCAGGAGGGAAAATGTCAGAATAAAAATATTCTTGAATTCTCTTTATGTTTCATAAAAGTGTGCATATTTTGTTTTTATATGGACAGAAATTCTTATGCACACCACATTTGAGACCCCCTGACTATTGGAAGAGCTTGTCTACAGATAGTTAAGCATTCCAAACTTTCTGCCCATAAAATTTAACTTTTTTCCCCCAAATATGTTTTTATTGATTTCAGAGAGAGGAAGGGAGAGGGAGAGAGAAAGATAGAAACATCAATGATGAGAAAGAGAGCCATTGATCAGCTGCCTCCTGCAGGGCTCCTACTGGGGATCAAGCCCGCAACCTGGGCATGTTCCCTGACCAGGGATCGAACCTTGATCTCCTGGATCATAGGTCAATGCTCAACAGCTGAGCCACGCCGGCTGGGCAAGATTTAACTATTAAATCCTAAAATGAATGGGAGTTAGGTAGTGAATGGGAGTTAGGTAGCAAATACTAATGTGTTCCTGCTTGCCTACAGGGTTGCTCTAATCCAGTGATTTTCAGCCAGTGTGCCGCAAGAGGCACAAGGGGTGCCTCAAGAGTTTGAAAACATGCAGTACCTGGCTATTTAGTCAAGGGCACTGACCTCTTTTCCCTTAGATTGTCAAATAAAATAATGACAACAGCCAGCACAACAATAGCTGTCTGAATTCTGGTGTGAATGAATCAAAATTATACCTATTTTTTTGTCAGATCAGCAAAAATTATATTTTTGGTGTGCAGCAGAATTTTAGTAGTTAACGTGCCATGAGATGAAAAAGGTTGAAAATCGCTGCTCTATGTCACTGTTACTCCTCTCTCTGCTATTATATTAGAAATGTGCTTCTTGTTATGACTATTAGCCCAATATTTGTGATATATTTTGCAAGTAGTTTCTTACAGTTTGTCTTTTGATTTTGCTTCCGGTGATTTTTGCCACATAAAGGTTTGTTTTTAAAAAATGTCATCTTTTATTACAAATGGATTTTGAATTATAGGTCACAAGCCTTCCCCGGACCCAGGTTATAGAGGAATTCATCTGTTTTCTTGTAGTACTTGTTTGGTTTTGTTCTTTACATTAAGATCTCTGATCTCCTTGGAGTTTATTCTTGGCTGTAGTGTGATGTGTAGGTCCAACTTAATCTTTTGGCCAGTGACTATATTCTCTGCAGTCACACATCTCTAAGCTCTTTCTTGGGCTGAGTAACTTCTGCATGTAGTGAATCACATTAGTTTTTCCGTTTGGTTTCAAAGGGAACTGTTTCCGGAAATGTTTATAGATTCTGAGGGTGTACCTTATCTGGAGCTCTAGTGCCTCATGAAAAGAATATTGTATTTACAAAGCACTTTTCTGACTGTCCAGACTTACTCAAAGATTGTAGAAATTTTAAATAAGGTGGGTGATATGGTTTCCATGATTAGGGACTTCAACTTGTGGAAAGACGTGTAGTGATTAGAAAACAACTGAAGGCAGCATAGAACTATTAGAATTTTCATTTTGAGTTACTGCCTAAATACCAGGAAGTATTTCTCTGCACTAGGGAAACAATCAATCTTTATGAAGGAGTAGCTTTTGCATTATTAATTTCATTTTTTTAATTAAATTTATTGGGGTGACATTGGTTAATAAGATTATATAGGTTTCAAGTGTTCATTTCTATGGTACATTTCAGCTACAGGTAATGGAGAACCAAATTCACAGAGGCTTAAACATTTCCACCCCCTCTCATATAAGAAATCTGGAGGTAGGTGGTTACTAGCTTTGGTTCAGCAGCTCAACAGTGTTAGGGATAGCACCTCTACAGTTTTGTGGGCCTTTGACACATGGTCCAAGACGGCTGCTGGAGCTTCCAGTGGAAGAATATGCTGCCCTGAAATAGGCCACTCTGGCATAAGGACTGTTTTGAGTTACAGGCATGTAAAGAAAAGCAGGTGCGAGAAGGGCACTTCAATCTCTCCTTTTCCTTCTGAAAGCAGGAGATAAAATTCCCTTGTAAAAGATGCCCTCCCTATACCAAGAGAAGAACATTCTTTTTTATTTTTAAAAATTTTTTAAATTTTTGTTTAAAATATTACAGATGTCCCTTTTTCTCCCCGATGACCCATTCCACCCCGTCCCATCCCCCTCCCCAGTCCCTCTCCCCACCATTGTCCGTGTCCTTGGGTTGTGCATATATGCGTATGAATACTTTGGTTGAGAAGAACATTCTTATCACCAGAGATAAGGAGCTGAAGCCTAGAGAAACCTGTATAAATGGACCTTGTTAAAAATAACCCTTATCTTGCCCATATACTTTAGTTGTTTTCACACTTACTACTGAAAGGTTAATGGTCGGTGGTGTGAGGGCAGGCTAAAGAGCCATCTCAGATGGGTGAATAAAGAAAAATTAAATTTTTAAGAGGGGATGGGGATTTCCAAAGGGAAGGGCTACAGAGCACTGAGTCAAAGGGTATTGGTCTATGATGGCAGCAAAAATATACGTGGGACAGTGAAACAAGAAAGGGAATAGAAGCGAGAGGAGAACCCAGGCTGGGCTGCTCTGGCTCACTGAGAGGTCAGAGAGAAAAGGCCCTTGGAGACAGGTTCAGGGAGTAAGCCCCGGATGAGGTGCCGCTGCCCATTGCTCCCCTGGTTGCAAGTATCCTGGGGTCACCTGGGGTGGGAGGATGGAAATGCACTGGTGTGCTCCCCTGGTGGGGAGCACGCACTGGGTCCTTTGTCCTGAACTTATTTCTCTCTCTCTTGCAGGTGGAAATCTTAGGGGAGGTCTCGGGAGTGTCTCAACAGAATATTCATCAGCTTTCCAGGTGTGCTTTTTCAGGGTCCTGGTCTCCACTGATTGGTCAGTGCCAGGGCAGAGTGTTGTTAGTCAATGAGTCAATGTATCTGGTCCTGAGTTAGCCACAGGCCCACTTCTCTGGTTTCACTGCCTCTCTGGGCCTGGAGCTGAAACACAACTGAGGCCTAGATATTATCTTTTTTGTTGTTGTTGTTCAGAATATTACAGATGTCCCTTTTTCTCCCCATTGACCCATTCTACCCTACCCCACCCGAGCCCCCTCCCTGGTCCCTCACCACACCATTGTCCGTGTCCTTGGGTTATGCATATAAATTCTTTGGTTAATCTCTCCCCCTCCACCCACCTGCCCCCCTCCATCCCTCTGAGATTTGTCAGCCTGATCCATGCTTCCATGTCATTGAATCATTTCTGTTCATCAGTTTATTAAATTCTTCAGATTCCACGTGTAAGTGAGATCATGTGGTACTTGTCTTTCTCTGATTGGCTTATTTCACTTNTGTCAGCCTGATCCATGCTTCCATGTCATTGAATCATTTCTGTTCATCAGTTTATTAAATTCTTCAGATTCCACGTGTAAGTGAGATCATGTGGTACTTGTCTTTCTCTGATTGGCTTATTTCACTTAGCATAATACTCTCCAGGCTCATCCATACTGTCCCAAAGGATACAAGGATCCTTCTTCTTTACAGCTGCATAGTATTCCATGGTGTAAATGTCCCACATCGTTTTTATCCACTCATCTACTGATGGGCTATACAGTAATGAGAACGAATGAGCTACAACTACATGCAACGATATGGGTAAATTTCACAAACATAATTTTGAACCCAAAATAGCCAACACAAAATAGTAAATACTGTATGATTCAGCTTATGTGAAGTTTCAAAGCAGGCAAACAAATATATGCTGTTAGAAGTCATGATAGTGCTTTTATGAAAGTTGGAGAGGGACTAGAGTGTGGGAAGGGGCTTCAAGGTGCTGGTAAAGTTCCATTTCTTAAATTGGTTTCAAAGATGTCATTTTGTGAAACTCTACATCTGTGATTTGTGCGCCCCAGGCCCCAGGCCCCAGTCTGAATTAAATGCCTCCCATTTAACATACCACATTGTAATAATGGATTTACTTGTCTGTCACTGAACTCAGACAGAGACAAGGAACTGAGACCAAGACAAGAGGTACTATTTGTACCAGCTCTGACTAGTTTATATGAAATGTAGAGTTAATAACAGAAGAGAGGGAGCACTAATTACCCAGGATTGTAAACAAAGACTACATTCAATAGTTTTTACTACTCAACCAATAATTGATGGTTGGGTTACTCAAGACTTCTTTTTTAGCTGCAAATCTAAACAATAGCAATTTCAAAACCAAGATATTAAGGAAACACACACATTTTTTTTAAACAAAAGATAAACAATGTTATCCAAAAGTAATAGAGAGCTTTGAGCTAAGTCCAATTTATCTTTTTTTTTATTCTGTGTGGACCAATACCGTATCTTCTTACGTACTCCTAAATTCCATCCAGGTGTACTTCCTCATCTGCCAATTTTAAAAGAAAAATACATGATTCTTTGGGGTTGCATATATTTCCCATAATGGGCTTATAGTGTAAATTTTGATTATCTAACATTTTGTAAACATCCATCAAGGCTATACTTTTCCTGCCATGTTGGAGGGGACAGCTACAATGCCTTCCAAAGAACCAGAGAGGAACCCTCCATAATGATGCAGGGTAGAGGTGAGGGGAGGCCAAGTTCTATTAGATTTCCAAACAGTTTAAGAGCAGCAACAGTGAGATTTGTGTAGGTTGTGTTTTTGTTTTGTAATATTTATCTGTTTTGGCAAAATCTTTTTATGCAAGCTGACAGGTGACTGTTTCTTAATGACTTTACTGTTACATAAGAGTAAATTAAAAAAAAATATTTTTATTGATTTTAGAGAGAGAGGAAGGGGGAGAGAGAGAAAGAAAAACATTGATGATGAGAGAGAGTCATTGATCGGCTGCCTCCTGCTCTTCCCGCAATTGGGGAACAAGCCCGCAACCGGGGCACGTGCCCTGACCTGGAATCCAACAGTGACCTCCAGTTTCATTGTCTGACACTCAACCACTGAGCCACACTGGCTGGGCTATATAATATTTTAATTAATAGAGCTTTAAAATACATTTTGATATCTGATAGGACAAGTCCTCCCTTTCCTTAACCTATATTTGCTGCTTACCACCTTACTGTCTCAAGAATTCCTCAATAATGTCTCTACTTCCTTAAGTAATATTCCCCCAAATAAACTTTTAAAGTGTTCCACCAAGTCTCCTATAAGTATTTTAAAATACATTTTCCCAAAAGACCCTTCATTTTCTCAAAAACTTAGACATTTTTTAGGAAAAAAATATGATCTGAATAGTAAAATAATAAAAATAGTGATAAAGCCACTCCATGTAATGGAAATAGCAGTGAACTGGGGAGTCAGAAAGCCCCAGTTCCATCCATTTGCTCACAAATCTTTGAAGACCCAATATGTGCTAGACACTGGGGATTCCAAGGTGCATATACAGAAGGGGTCTGTCATATTCTCAATCTTCCTCTCCTTCCTTAGGAAGTCCACTTGGCTTTATTTTGAATTAGTTACATTTAAAGAGATTGAAGTATATCAACTATATAAAAACGTACTGGCTACCATTGCAGGTTGCACCACTACTGTTCTAAAAATTAATGGAAAGAGAAAGCCTTTCTCTTGCCTTTCCTACACAATCTGTATTACAGGGAAACCAGAGAGCTGGAGGTTGAAATACAAATACAGTATACATCAGTTAGGTTAGCTGGTGATCTGAAACTTCTGATAAATGTTTGTCTGGCCTACCTGGGGGGACACGTGGGGAGGGCATGTCAAAGGCATTAAGGGGAAAGAAAGGCAGCCATTTGGTGGACTGCAGAAGCACCTGCGTCTAAGGTAGCGTTCCGGCTTCAGAGCGGCGGGCTGAGCACCGGGCCCGGCCGGCAGGAGCTGACGGTCC